TTGTTTATTGACTGGTTCGATTGTTAGTAAAAGACCAGGGAGACACTGTTTAGAGCAAAGACGCTGTTTATTTTAGTTTAAACAAATGACTTTTATTATACAATTTATGATATTAGGTACAAGTAACTTCTAGTCTATGGCATCAAAATGCCATGTGATGGTATAAACTGTAATAATACAAGGTATCAAAATGCCATTTGGCGTTATAAACTCTAGTGGTACAAATTTATCTAGGCTATAGTGTCAGAATACTACTGACATTAAAATTGTTTTGGCGACTTAGCGTTGAAGTAGGTCTCTACTCACTTCGGTGTGTTGGCGCTAAGTGATCTTTCATACAAAATTGTTGTCTATTTATGTGAAATTATTCTCACTACATTATTTACACGCACAACCGCACAAGTGTAATTCCGCGTGCGTAAACAAATAATGCATTTCTTTGTGAGGTAACGGCTTTACCGTGAGTTTGGCTTGACTTGTGCTGGCTGTGCGTGTGGATGTTCGCTGCTGCGTTGAGACTTGTTTGTAAAAACAGTTTTACGCCTCTTTGTTTTTTTTTAATCTTAAATATATAAATAAATTTTATGCGGACGAAATTACTACATTGTAACATTTTATTATAATTCAGAGAATATTATATAAATAACTCATACCTATCTTATACTTATACCTAGTCTAAATATAAAATCAATCCATGTTTATATATAAAATTATATAAATAAAATTCAATATATAACTTATACTCATAAAATCCATTTTTATATATAAAATTATATTCATTAATTAATATAAATACAATTCAATACATATAACTTATACTAATCTAGATATAAAGTAAAATTCATTTATGCATATAAAATTTTGTTCAAATAAAATTTACTTTATAATGTATACTATATTGGTCACTAAAATGATTATTATATTTTTAGGAAGGTCATAGTTAACTAGACTTTGTTATACCTATAACTTGATAAATTGCTTTTGACAGGGTTGAATTATTCTCAAAAAAGTTTTTATACCTTGATAGCTCATATCATGTTTTTTAAAAATACCAAGTTGCATATTCTTATTGATTAATTTAAGGTGTTCTTCGTTGTAGTACCATTTTTCATAGCTTTCAAAGATGCCATCCTTTTATGGGTTTATCACCAAATTTCATACACAGCAGTTATTTACAAGTTTGCTTATTAATACATGCCTTATTCACGGTGTTTTAAATAGTATGATAATAAATCAATTCATAATATTTATGAGGGTGGAATGA